GTATCTGTTACTTGTAACATTCACCCAAGAAGCTGAACCTGTCATTGTAACAACAGCGCCAAGAGTGTTTGTTGTGTAGGCTATAGGTTTTTTTAGTTCTATAGTTCCTAACGCACCGGTTATTATAAGATTTCCAGTAGTACCATCTATTGATGTAGATTGAGAACCGTCGATCTCCATTGTAATTTCATTAGTAGCGTAAGGTTTTAAAACGAAATAATATTTTAATCCCTTGTTGTCGCTATAATAGTGCATGTCTGTATAATTATAGAGATTTGGAATAAAAATCCGTTCGTTCCCTTGTACATCAGTTATTGAAGGGTTAGAAGCATAACCAAGCCAATAGTTATAAACGGTAGATCGAGGAACAAGTTCATGCTGTGCTGCAAGGGGATTAGAGTATAAAAATTTACATTTAATTCTTTCAGTAGTATCAAGAACGTTCGTATTGGTGTTTGATGGCACAGAATTAATTTTTCTATTCACAAAATTGAATCCATTCTGCTCAATAAAAACTTGAGGGCTTGTATTGTGTGTGTAATACAATACTTCGCTGGCAAGAGTTGAATCGGTTCGCAGTAATTGACCAGAATTTTTTAAATACAAATGTTTTAGATTCACTGGCTGGTTGCTGAAATCAGGTGGCCAATAAACAGGCGTTTGATTTAATTTAATAGTAGTATAATCGAATTGGGCACTTGAATTTCTGCAAAGTGCTCCTACGTAAACAACACCAACGCCATTAACAGCTATAGCTGTAGCCGCATCATTATTACTATCTATACCGTCAATATTTTGACGCCATGAAGTGTTACCCGATGGTGTTATTTGATAAACAAAAATATCTTTTGTACTCATTAATTTCTCACCACCCACATACCAATGATGTGCGATGGTGTCATTAGCAATTGTTGGATCTGTAACAAGTGTGTTTAGACCTGTGCTTTCAATATTTACAGCATATTGAAATCCACTACCTGTATAAAAAACTGTACGGTACTCATAAATTCCAGCATTTAAAACAGTTCCAACAACTCCTATGTTGCCTGCGGAATCGCGTACTAAAGCTGTTGCTCTATTTGTCATGTTTGAAAAATCATAGGAGTTTTGCCACATTGCGGTTCCGTTCGATCCATTGTATTTGATTACCGCATAATCTAACCCTGTCGTAGAATTTGTTTTTTCTCCACAAATCACAATGTCTGTACCATGAAGAATAATTCCGCTACTTTTGTCATTTCCGTTTGCTGAACCATTTGCTGTTACTGGTGACCAGTAGGCTGTTCCGGGGCCGGTATTTAGGGCAAAGGTTACAATATTGTTTCCGGAGCTGGAATTGTAAGTATTTCCTGTAACATATAAGTAAGAGCCATTGGCAGACAGGACCATTGCAACACCCTCATCGTCAAAACCACTTCCAGAATAAATATGAGTCCAGGTTGTATTTCCAGTAGTGCCGTTTAACTTTAAAGTTACAATATCATAATTTCCACTTGAGTTTCTGCTTCTTCCTGTTACATATACGTCGCCGTTTGCGTCGACCGCAATATCACTAGCCTCATCATCATTGCTTGCGCCTCTATCATAAGTTTTTAACCACTGTTGAGTACCAGATGAATTTAATTTTACAATAATATAGTTCCTGGCAGTTGGCCCGGTTGTAGCAGTTGTTATGCCTGCTAAATAGCAATTCCCCGAAGCGTCTACTTTAATAGCCTTACCAATATCATACGAACCACCAT